CTGAATATTTCTTCTGCTAGTGCCACCTCAAAAGCTACATAGTTGGAGCAGAAAAAAAGGAAAAATACGTAAATGTATGGCAAAGCATCTGGGAAAATGTTATAATGCAAAAAGAGTGCAAAATTGTACTGCATATAATTGAATTGTTGCTCATAACACCATTCACGAATGCCAAGGTGGAGCGTTTATTTAGCCGAATGAACAGAATTAAGACAACTCTGCGAAATCGTTTGAGTACACAACGACTCGACGCTCAGCTAAGAGTTGGTGAAGAAGGATGCCCGCTAGCTGAATTCAATGCGGAGGAAGCTCTCCAATATTGGCTAGAGCAAAAGATTAGACGCCCAAATGGTGCAAAACCACGAAAGTATCCAGCATAAAGGCAATCAAAGTCAGCATCATCTACAAACGTTGTTGATATTGCAGCAGCTACGCTTTCCGATTTGGAAGAGAACGAATGCGAGGATTTTAGTTTATAGTTTTTAATATTAATAAAAAATATTAGCGTAATCATGTGCATTGTAAAAATTGCGAGAGGAAAGTAAATCGGGGGGGGGGTCGATCGGAACGGGGGGTCGGTAGGAACTTATTCGAAAAAAGTTGCGAAGCAATTTTTTTGCGATAATTCGGACCTTGCACCATAGAAAAATTGCAGTCTGTAGGTAAGATCTTTTCTCTGTTTCCAGTTGCACAAAATTTTAAGTTAGCAAAGCACAATGAAATTTGTGATGATGATGTTTGTAGATGCAGAAGAGAGCAACTGTTTTTTTCTACCGCCTAGGCTGTGGAAACCTCAGTCAACATCAATACCAACAGTCCTTGTCCAGACTTTACTAAACTAAACAATTTACATCTGCAAACATCTAACAATACTTCCGGGTTCAAACCATATTCTTTTTATTGTGGTAATGAATGGCGCAATTCTCTTAAAGCAAGCAATTTCACATTAATGTCAAGTAATAAAAGCTGCAATTTTGTCAAATACCTCAACAGTCCTGTCCACCCAAAAATATATGCCTATTTTTTGCAAGTCATATGAAATTTGAAAGTAACTTCCGTCTTCATTGTGTTTTTGTTAAACAACTTATTCTTTGAACAAACTCTTGCAATAAGATTTTCATGTCATGTTGTCCAAGATGTCTGTTATAATAAATGTGACTTGTAGTGATTGTTTATTTTATTGTGTGCTCATGACATGTTCTCAAATGTAGAAGAAAGAAACAAGTACTGTTTTATATTTTGCTCATTTTGATCCCCTGCCATTATTTGCATTCCCAGGTGAAAATCCTCAGCAGAATCCTACTCAGGATTTTCATCAGGGTTGGCCCAGGTCATTTCGACTGAACCAGGTCTCTATGCATTTCAAAAAGTTTTTTCTATGACAGTTTCAAGTTAGCAATGTGTTGAGATGTAATTTCTCCATGTTTCTAGCATGATGCCCAGATGGACTATTATGGTCGTAAACTTGCAACTTGCTCGTCAGATCGCAGTGTCAGGGTTTTTGAAGTGAATGGTAACACACAGACTCATGTTGCTACTTTACGAGGGTAAGGAGATATGTACATGTGACACCTTGTTTGATGACTTAATGCAGTGTGCGAATTAACGGTGTGCAATGTGCAATTTGCACATCGTTTTAGCTAAATTGAAAACAATTGCACATCACTTTTTCAAACGATGTGCAAAAATCGGCGGTTTTAACAAAAAACACTGTCGTAAATCATATGAATTTGTTCATGTTTAAAAATATTAATTTAGCAATTAGCATTATATAATAATTAACGTAATATTGATTTAATTATGGCTCTAAAAAAACACTTTTGTCAAAAAAATTGCACATCGTTTTTTCTGGACTAATTCGCACACTGATATAATATATCATAGGATAAGCACTTTGACTGCTATCAAAACTTCATATAAATCAGCTTTATATCTATGTATGTAATGTCTACATTTGTAGCATTTTGATTATTATTTTTATAATCTCTTTTACAGTTGGATGTTTACAACCTGCACACGGTAAATGTTGACCTCTCAGAAAATGGTAAAATGAATTTGGAGTTCAATATGTATGGAAAAATTTGCTTTTGTTTGGAAAATGGAAACAATAAGGATATTAAAGATTTCACAGCTGTTTTGCATCGCATCAAGTGTGAAAGTGAGTTGACAATAAATTTTGTAGATTTTGTTTCTCTTTGAAATGCTGGAAATGGCATTTTGGGAGACATTGAATCTCTTGTTCTTGAACAAGACTTTTTTGGTAAACTATTTAATATGAGCAGCTATTTTGTTTAACGTTTGTGTTTATATTATTCATATTTCATTGCTTGTGACACTATAGAATACACATTTGTTAGCAGCATAGTACAATAAAACATTATTTTATATTGTTTGTGCTTGTGTTAAAGCAGGGGTCTCCAAACTTTACAGCCAGAGGGCTACATGAACTTTCATCCAGCATGTTGAGGGCCGACGAACCGTATACCACTGGTCAAAAAGCAATGAAGAAGTATTTTACACTTCACTCTTCTTAAAATTGCCAACATTCATCATCTACTTTTCTTTTTCTTTTGTGCACAAAGTTTATTTTGTTTAATGATATTATTATTTTTTCTCAAGTGTCTCTGCGGGCCGTAGTTTGGAGACCCCTGTGTTAAAGGATGTTGACTTTCATGTGTATTTTCAAGGTCCGAATTATCGCAAAAAAATTGCTTCGCAACTTTTTTCGAATAAGTTCCTACCGACCCCCCGTTCCGATCGACCCCCCCCCCGATTTACTTTCCTCTCGCAATTTTTACAATGCACATGATTACGCTAATATTTTTTATTAATATTAAAAACTATAAACTAAAATCCTCGCATTCGTTCTCTTCCAAATCGGAAAGCGTAGCTGCTGCAATATCAACAACGTTTGTAGATGATGCTGACTTTGATTGCCTTTATGCTGGATACTTTCGTGGTTTTGCACCATTTGGGCGTCTAATCTTTTGCTCTAGCCAATATTGGAGAGCTTCCTCCGCATTGAATTCAGCTAGCGGGCATCCTTCTTCACCAACTCTTAGCTGAGCGTCGAGTCGTTGTGTACTCAAACGATTTCGCAGAGTTGTCTTAATTCTGTTCATTCGGCTAAATAAACGCTCCACCTTGGCATTCGTGAATGGTGTTATGAGCAACAATTCAATTATATGCAGTACAATTTTGCACTCTTTTTGCATTATAACATTTTCCCAGATGCTTTGCCATACATTTACGTATTTTTCCTTTTTTTCTGCTCCAACTATGTAGCTTTTGAGGTGGCACTAGCAGAAGAAATATTCAGTTATCCAACTTTATGATAAGAAAGGAAAACGATGCATTTACTATTCAAACCTTCAAACGATTCCATTCTGAGACGACTTTGTCAATGTTGCATCGATTCTGAATAAGTAAAGCCTGGTAAAACTCTTTCAGTTCTAAAATTGCCTTGTCGCCATACCGCTTAAGTGCTTCGTCGTCCTTGGGCCACATTGCAAAGTCCAATATGACTGGCAGATTTTAAAACACCACACTTTCTCGGAACTCTTCAAATCTTCCTTGCACACTCCTAGACACTGCATTAATCATTTTTTCATAAGTTTTCCATACTTTCCTCCGGGACGCATTAAACCCTTTTAGCTTTATTTTTTGGTAAGAAACATCTTCAGAAACAGAAAAGGCAATGTTACGACATAAAGTATTACATTTACAAAACACTAATTATAACATTTAAAAGTACCTGCTTCATCTTCATCGTCTTCAAGTTCTTCCACTTGATGCCTGGTAATTTTTTGACGTTTTGTCAAAGGTTGGTGAGGTTCTACTGTGTAAAAAAACATTTCAAGCGTTCGTAAAGTCAGGGACTCATTCATCACTTACTTACCGTCGTCGGACGTTGTGAAATTGTCGTTGGGAAATTGTTCATGTGAAACCGGGAAAAGCAATCCTGTATCATCTTCTTAAGGCCATCTGCACTTGTTGATGTAGGTGATTCAATTGCTAAAAACCTTATTTGAAGGATACCTGTCCATTGAAAAAATAGAAATAACGCATCTAAAGACAAGAATCGAAATAATTCAGTTCAGTGTATTGCATTTACCTTCACTGCTTATAAAAAGGAGATACAAAACTTCCTGTTCAGAAACGCCGTTGTCAGTGCTGCCGTCGGTCAACAAAGAAAAATAGCGTGTTTTCTTCAATTCAGACATCAGCTTCTGCTTGAATTTGTCAGCAATTGAATCAGTGATGTTTGCCATAGCACGCTCGTTTCAGAATTTGGAACTGCGAATCATTCCGTTCATTTCGTTTAACGTAATGATGCCCTCACTATCGCTATAGGGTCTTTCTGAAGTGGCTAAATAGTAGGCAGTGTTGAAACGAGTAATCATTACTTTCCTGTCAATCTCTGCCATTTTCATCAAACCGCTTCCAATTGGAGATCGTTCAACAACTTGTGCGCCAAAAATTTCGCCCAAGGACTTCTGATCAAAAAGACGTTTTGCATGTTGATGTGCTTTACCTTGGACATGTTTTTTCAAGCTATCTAATTTGACTGATGTTGTTCCATCTGTCCATGCTTGCGAAAAACCAGCTATTGAAGAAATTGTTGAGGAGAATTCCACACAGACAGAACATTTTAACGCTTCTACTTTTTTCTTATCTGTACTAAGACTTTTGATCAATTTAACGTTTAAATCTCGCCCCAATTTTCTACAGTCTTTTGCTTCGCCATCGTTAACGTATGCAGTGTGTATTAGTTTGTGACTTTGTCACTTCGCGTTTTCAGATAATATTGAAAATGTTACGTTTCATATTACAATTGATAGCGACGTTTTTTAAAAAGTTGCGACCATTTTAGGATAAATTCCTGTTAGTCACATTCCTGAGGCAGATGTAATAGCAACGCTTTGAAATTATGCAAATAGTGCAAGAAATTTGATCATTTGATATTTCTTTTGACGTATTTTAAAACTTAGGGAGTGGTCGCAAAGTATAATAAAAACACATCCATCACAGCAATATAAAAAGAGTGCTTTCAGTAAGCAAATTTACATTAAATAACAAGAAATGCGAAATGAGCTTCGCAATTTTACGAAATTTGCTTCGCAATATTTCGCCAAAATCGAAATCACTTCGCAATTTGCGATTTGCGAAGCGCTAATTCGGACCTTGCTTTGTAGGATGGCATGTTTTGGCCATATAAACTCATGAACATGCTGGTGTATGATTGTTCATGCCAAACAGCTCATCACAAAAGAAGTGTTTCGGTTGTTGATGTTAAAGGTATGTTATATGTAAAATGTGCTGTAAAAGTTTCTTCATTTTAGCTGGGATGGTTCAACACAATTATAATTTTGGATCTTTTTCAATTTTTAGGCACCTTTTGTACTGTTGAGGTACAGTTTTGCTCATGCTCTTCCGAGTTTGTTCAACTCCTGCAATTTGGCCTTTGGGGTGCAACACCTACAAAACCAAGAATTGCATTTGCAATTGAGTTTTTTGAATTGGTTCATTCTGTGCAGATGGAATGCCAGGCATCAATAAAAAGCATTTGTCAGTCATTTGAAGAGTTTAATCATAACCACATATTTTCTTATGCAACACCAAAAATGTATCCTGTCATTATAGATGCTTTTGAAGAATACAGGTAATTGCATGTAGGTCACTGATTTATTGCACTGCTGTACTACGTATGAATTGCTGGGAAAGTTGTAGTCAATTTTATAGCCTAAGAATCTCATCTTAAGAGATGTATTTAATTGGAGGAAATCAAAATGCTAAAGTTTATGATGGGAAAGGATTTTTCCTCAAGTATTACTGTATTGCACTGTATTTTGTTTATGTCATTTGTTTAAGAGTGCATAATTGCTTTCTTTGTGTCATTGTTTTTTTCAGAATTTACAGACATAAACTAAACATGTTGAGCTGTGTTATTCCTGAGCTTGATGAAGGAAATATCTGTCCTGCTTGTCCCAAAGTGAGTATATTTGTATTACTCGTTTAACAATGACAATTTAGTAAAAAGAACATTAGCAATGCTATCTTAAACACCTTTTTGACTGCATCATTTGCATCATTGAACTCAAATACATTGCATGATTTTATCCTTCACCATTTTATTGAAGACTGATGGTGTGATCTTTGAGTCTCTTGATGCTCTTTTTATTGGACGAAGGAAAAAAGCTGGGCAGAGTATTGGAAAACCTCTATTTGAACAGCTGATGTTCTATGATCAGACACATGTTGATCAATTTGTTGCCAATTATACCACACCTACATCAAACAAGGTCAATGTAGCTTTAATATACTTTGTTATTCTAATGAAAATTCAGGCATGGAAGTTACAGTGCTTTGAATATATTTGATTTTTACATTCTCTACCACATAGTTTTATTTTCAATAAATTTGTGCCATGGGCTTTAGGAAATAAAGCTCTTGTATACTTTTTTGTTTGTTACATGTTGATACTTATAGGAGTGTCATGGTTTTTGTGCTGGGAATGCTGTTCGATCAATGAATCGCTACAGAGCTCTTGATGAAACAGCAATCTTTGGACGAGGCTGTCGACATGAGTTTCCTAAAAAATTCTTAAATTTGAAACATGGAGAGGTCTGTTACACATTTTTTCTCTATTTTTACCTAAATGTTCTTGGTTTGAAAGAGGTGGTTAGGATGCATGCATTTAATGGTGTAAATTTATTTTTTTCAGTTGGTTTGCTACTTTGAATGCTTTGTGCAAGTGCTGAAGCTTTTTGCATACATGTGGTTGCATTATTTAAGAAAATATTCTACATATTTTATAGATTGAGCTATGCAGTTATGTTCTCCAAGAATTAGAGAAAGATAATGCTGATAAACCTGCACTCAAAATAAACATATTGTATGATGTTGCATGCATGTTGGTGAAACACTTACAGGTAATATTCAATTGACAATAGTTGCTTTGTTACCTGTTTCCTTAGTCAATAACTTTCCCTCAACACTTTTTTTCTTTGAAAAGGTAGTCTTTCACATGTTTTTTTACTTTGTTTTTACAAAAGAATTTGGAAGATCAATTATTGACATTTTCAATTTTCAATTCCAATTTTTCACTGCTATGGCCATGTTGGACGATGCCAAGTTAGTTGTTATTGTTTTTATTTTTCATACGTATTAACAGATGGTGATACCTGGGTTTTTATGCTGTCTTAACTAATGGTATTGTAGATGATAAAACGATAAAAAATCAATAATTTTTTGCTAAATCTTTCTTGTAAAAGGTTAAATTTAGTCCCCGTCGTAAAGAAGGATTTGGCCTAACTGACGGTGAGATGTTGGAGAGATTGTGGGCTTACATTCGCAAATTTAGTAGAATGACTAAAGAAATGCGTCCAAGTCACAGAGTTGATGTACTCAGTGATGCTCTTTTACATTATGGAAAGAAAACGAAGATTAATTTAGGTATAACTAGTTTTTGTTTCTTTGTTTGAACGTATACATAGCTAACATGTCATTATACTATGTAATAGCAGGTATGAATTAAATTTTGTTTTTTGAGGCAATTTGCTGATGGCAAGGATGAAGCGAGCTGTTGACGTGGAAGAAACTGCAAAATCAGATATTGAAAAGTTATGCAGGTGCTTTCCGTGTGAGTATATGTTTGTATTTGCTGTGTGGTTCTATTTGACACCGATTTTGGATATGAACTATTTACTCACATGAAATCAGTAAATTTTCTTTTTCATTATCTAAAGCTCACAGGATTTCAATAGATGATATTCGTGAGTGGATGAAGGACGAATCGACTTTTTTTGGTCGTGAAGTTGAGACTGGTTAGTATTTGAGAAACTATGGCTTGTAGCTATGGAACAGATTTGACACATAATTATTGATGCTCATTATGTGGAAATGTTTTGCCCACAGAAAACTTTTTAACAAATATACGTAAATCTTCAACAACTTACAGAAGAAGAAGATTGAAATGCAAGTACGTTATATACCTGGACTTGTACGCTGATCTTTACCATCGATGGAATGGTTGCACTGATCCAAGTGAACTGACTGTTCGATTTAATCAGATGAAAAAGTATGTTTGAAAAGTTGAACTTGTTTCTAGAGATATTAAAGTCTTAAACAGTGTGAATTTAGAAAAATGAACTGGGAAAATTTGAAGCTATATGAATGTACGTCGTAACATTGTGAATAATAAGTTGGAATATCGAATAAAAAATTATTTCTTGTTTTTATACGTACGTACAAGTAGAGATGTATATGCAACTTGCAGGTGCTTATCTGACCGTGCCTTATATTTGTAATGATTTGGTATTTACTGTTTAGAATTGACGAGTAGTTGAAGATCATGGAAAGGGAAAACTCAATTTCTGCACGCTGGCAAAATACTGACTCAGAGTACGAAAATGCAAAACGCGAGGTTGCAATTTTACAACGCGAGAAATTGTCAAACTTTCGAATAATATATATTTCAATAATCATGTCATTAAAGACATTATTACATTGTAAATGAAATAAAGCTAATACGTTTGTACGTTATCTAAAAAAAGTAGTTTAACGATTGCCTTACGCGCTGGGTGAAAAAAAACGAATAACCAAAATCTGCCTGGTGATAGTTTTTTCAAAATAATTGATATAAGAACTTTCGATGTCAATTTGGTATGTTTATTGTTTAAAAGTTAAGAAATATTTTGAAATATTTTTCGTCCTGACTAACACTGCATTCTTTCAACAGGGTTATTCAAGAAACATGAAAAAGATGATAAATGAAAGGTAAAAGAAAACTAGATACTTCGCAAAATATTATGGGCTTTCAGTGAGGGAAAACCTTCTTGATAACAATGAAATGGTTAAGGCCATAGAAGCATCACTTTATCATGTTGCTTGAACTGATGAGAACCCACAGCATCATAATTGCCCCGGTGGAGAACACAGTTAATGTGGTTAGGAAAGAAATAAAGATAATTACAATCATAGTTCATCCAATGATTTCTCTCAATCTCCAGTGACTATTTTGTTCAATGCGTATAACCTATTACTTTCAATCATAATTCAGAAGAAGGAGGAGGAGGTGATGAAGAGGAGGTAATTTTTTATTACTGATTTATCAAAGCAGCCTGCTTTCTATAGTAGAGAAGTATAAGACGATTTAAATTTTCAATCGCTCAATTTAACTTTTGCGATAATGTAGGTCTTATTATGATTTAATTTATATACGTATATATATCACAAGTCTTTTCTATGTTGGTATACGAATCAGTCATTTTCTTCCATAAACTGATATAAAAGTTTCATGTATAATATCATCATAAACTTTGTATGTTGTTACAAAAAGAAAACATTCCACTATATGATAAAAGCAAAAAATATAGAACTTTTACAAACAAATCTGTTTATAAAATAATAAGTGGAAAATATTTGCAAAAAGTGTCATAAAATTATTATTGTACGCGTAGTTTACTATATCTTTACAGGATCAAGAAAAAATCGTTCGTGCAATAGATGTTTTAATTTTTTGTTTGTTCATAATCGATCTCGCAAGACCAAATGTATCTATTAATTTTCTTATTATTGAAGTTAAACGAGCATAGTTTTAAGTATTATTGCACAAATTGATGCATTAATTATTTTTATATTTTTTACGTAACAGGCCACAAATAATATGCGCCATGTGATGGACATGGACATGACGAATTGTGATGGTAAAAAATCTATTTTAATCATTTTCTCCATTTTTCTTGACAGGCTACAAATTATCAAATGGTCGATATGATCGAAACGTTTTATGTTCGTAGGAAGCTTAATATATGTGATAACTGGAACTAGACCAGATTTATGTTATATTATTACAAAACTATCTCAGAAAATGTCTGAACCCACACAAGCCGATTTATCCACTGCCAAACATGTTTTAAGATATATAAAAGGGACACAAGAGGTTGGATTAGTCTTTCAAAATAAGATTCACAACTTAAACTTACAGGTTTCTGTGACTCAGATTGGGGAGCGTCTATAATTAAAAGATAGACGAAGTATTACAGGTTATAATTTTCAGCTTTCACAAGAAGGTCCTCTCATATCATGGAAGAGCCAAAAACAAACAACTGTAGCAATATCAACGTGTGAAGCAGAATATATTGCCCTAGCAAATGCAATTCAAGAAGCGAAGTATTTAATGCAAATTTGTTTAGATATGAAGGTAAGTATAATGGAAGGTAGGTCTTTTCTTTTAATGGATAACCAAGGAGCAATGATCATGTTCGATGTAAATATTGTGAAGAATAACACAAGCCAATGTGACTGCTTTAGGCCTTAGGAAACGTACGGTAGAAATTCTAAAGTGCGCATAAGTAAGGCCAAGGTAGTATCAGTTTACGAATAATAATAATAATAATAATAATAATAATAATAATAATAATAAAAAGATAAAAATAAAATGTAGGATACCTTACTGTGTGCTATTATATAAAGTTTAAATATATGTTTGAGGTATAAGCTGTCATACGAAAGCAGCAATTTTATATAGTGGTTTTTATTTCATTCATTCAGAAAACTGTGTACCGATGACGTCATGTTTGATGCACAACATTGACAGTAAAGATGCTCAGATTTGAATGTAAAAGTATTAATAAACATTTACAAAGTTGAATGACTCGTTTTTTAAGTTTGTTCATTTTTTGCAAGAAATTGACGTTAGTTAAGACCTTCTGATGCATGCTGCTCAGCGATTCATTCCAAAATAGCTTAGATTACAAATGAAAAAATTTTCTTCAAATATTGGGCTTGAGGAGCGCAGAAAAATAATTGAAAAGCCACGGCAAAATTGCGACAAACTTACTGTGCCCAAACTCAATGAGCTTATATGGTCAAGCCTTAAAAATTTCCATCGTCAGCGAGATTTGCGTACCGCAGTTCTACAAGATTCTAGTGTGTGTGTCGCAAGTTCTCTCTCAGTTACTGTCGATGACCAATTAAAATGCTGAGAGACAAAGTCTTGCTGGACTTTCGCGCCATTACGACTACGCTCTTTGATGCCGTTGCCTTATTAGTGCATGTAAATTTTAGAGCTGTCATACAAGCGTCGACGTGTAGGCCCACCCATATTTTTCCCCATCCCCCTCTCCTCCACTCTAGCCATTGTACCAATACTCGTGCTCTAAATACTGGTCAATTCATGTGCAGTACTCTCTCTCCTACAGTTCCTGCACTCCTCGCTAATGACTAATAGAATTTTATTTAAACTTCGATTTAAGGTAAGTCTCGTTTAATTTCCAATTGTTAACAAAGTGAGACACCTAAGAATCATTGAATGTGAAGAAATGATTAATACAGCAAAGTTTGATCATAGCATGACCTTAAGATGGACTCTGTTTTTAAAATTACTACCAAATAATTGCCAGATGACAAGGATTGTTTCGGCCAAATTTGGTCTTAACAATGTTTTTCGTTGTGCAGCTACATTGCAATGAATGAAAAAGTGTCGCACTTTGCTCAAGATAATGCTAAGATATGACGGGAAAAGCGACGAAAGTGTTTTATGGCTAATGACGAGTCACGGTTTTCTAATATGTCTCATCAAAAAAAATTAATAACTGTTGATGTAAATGACAAGTTTTAGCTCTACAAGCTGGATTTCTTTGTATACGATTCAAAAATAAAGTTTGAAATATTAATTGCAATTCTAAGAAAAATACCAACGTTTACCAATACAAAGGCAGATAAAGAAACAAAAACTCAAATTAAAGTGTTGAGGAACAAGTTTCACTAATCGGAGCGCACATCGTCATCTTTGAGAGATAAGTAGTTTATAAGAAGACAGACATATTAAAATAGTCTTATCACTTCAGCACTTTCAGTTGGTCCACAAGCTTTGCTTTTATTATTTAAATCTACAGCTTGGATCGTGAATTGAAACACCGACGTTAGAGCTCTACAGTTGTAAACGTATTTTTTTTTGTCAAATTCAATTTCGGTCTATTCCCTTATGCAGTGAACGATTCTGACGATGAACTTTTGATTGAAACTCAAAAAAGAGCCGAACACCAACCGTTGTTGGAGTGATTTTTAATTTAATAAGCATGCATAAATATTGCACACAAAAAACAAACTTTTGTTTCTTAGAATCTAACTTGGAAATATTTGAAATACAAATACTTCATCGAAATTTCAAATCAGAACATGGTCAAACCAGGTTTTAACAATTATAGCTACTTAGCTACGAACAATCACCCATAAACCGGAAGAACGGCAAAGTTAATTCTCGCTACCTTCGGCAATCTTTGTTGTGTATTTACGACAATACTAAATACACGACGATAACAACAAATGGAGAAAGAATAAATTGACCCGCTTTGTCAAAACCTTAGAAAGGGAAAATATATAACAGGTGCAACTTCGAATCCTACCTTCCCTGCCAGCCAGCGAGAAGTTCTGCACGACCAAGATACGTTTTGAAATATTGCTTATTTCCACTTTTGCATTCTACAAAATTTAATGCAACATTATAGGAAGCTCATAATCGCACCGAAAAAGAAAAGAACCAACTGCCTAACCATAGCTCAATAAACGTGTAGGATATCTCTCGAGCAAGCATGAACTAAAAACTCAACGAAAATTTTAAAATTCCACAAAGTGCCTCATTACGTTCCTATTTTTTTCTCCAGCTTCCTAATTTTTAAAATATTGTGAATAGGCGGAAAGATTTTATGCCTTCTTGTATTCATCACAGGTTACTCAACTTTTTCACTTCTTGCACGTTAAATACAACGACAGTTGCATATATTTTTTTCAACAGCACTGACGACAAAACCATTGTAACACTTGCATGTGATCTTATATTAAATTAGGCTTCAAACGCAGACCAAGAACTGTCAATGGTGATGAAGGTAGATAATCAAAATGAATACAAGTGTTCAGTCCTCTATTTCCCAACAAACGTTTCCCAACAAGCGAAGGTCGCAGCGGAGGATCTAAAAAACGTTTACTCCTCATTTGACTCTGAAGATGACTACCGCTAAGGTTGTCGAAACGTCAGTCAACAACATCAAAAACAGTCCTTCTCAGGACTTTATTAACCTGGACGATCATCACTTACAAACATATAACGATACTCCCGGGTTCAAACCATTTACTTTATTACGATCATTTGGACGACAGAGCGAACAACTTGCTAACGACTACATACGTTTTGCAAGCAACGTCAGACGCATACGCCAACAACTCTGGTTCAACCACCGCTGCAAGGATTTTGGTCTCGTTCCGACAGGACTTAGAATTAAGTCTCCGTTGAACACACAAGAGGCTATTCAGATTGTCAAATCCACCAGCAGACGACTGATACACACAATACAATGACGTAAGAACCAGACAATAAATACGGCTAACCTGACGTTTACTCCTCATTTGACTCTGAAGATGACTACCGCTAAGGTTGTCGAAACGTCAGTCAACAACATCAAAAACAGTCCTTCTCAGGACTTTATTAACCTGGACGATCATCACTTACAAACATATAACGATACTCCCGGGTTCAAACCATTTACTTTATTACGATCATTTGGACGACAGAGCGAACAACTTGCTAACGACTACATACGTTTTGCAAGCAACGTCAGACGCATACGCCAACAACTCTGGTTCAACCACCGCTGCAAGGATTTTGGTCTCGTTCCGACAGGACTTAGAATTAAGTCTCCGTTGAACACACAAGAGGCTATTCAGATTGTCAAATCCACCAGCAGACGACTGATACACACAATACAATGACGTAAGAACCAGACAATAAATACGGCTAACCTGACGTTTACTCCTCATTTGACTCTGAAGATGACTACCGCTAAGGTTGTCGAAACGTCAGTCAACAACATCAAAAACAGTCCTTCTCAGGACTTTATTAACCTGGACGATCATCACTTACAAACATATAACGATACTCCCGGGTTCAAACCATTTACTTTATTACGATCATTTGGACGACAGAGCGAACAACTTGCTAACGACTACATACGTTTTGCAAGCAACGTCAGACGCATACGCCAACAACTCTGGTTCAACCACCGCTGCAAGGATTTTGGTCTCGTTCCGACAGGACTTAGAATTAAGTCTCCGTTGAACACACAAGAGGCTATTCAGATTGTCAAATCCACCAGCAGACGACTGATACACACAATACAATGACGTAAGAACCAGACAATAAATACGGCTAACCTGACGTTTACTCCTCATTTGACTCTGAAGATGACTACCGCTAAGGTTGTCGAAACGTCAGTCAACAACATCAAAACAGTCCTTCTCAGGACTTTATTAACCTGGACGATCATCACTTACAAACATATAACGATACTCCGGGTTCAAACCATTTACTTTAAAAGGAGTGAAACACAAAAATGTCAACAAATGTCAACAATTTTGACATGTTGCGCGATGAACATAAAATTTTCTAAAATTTTTCACCGCACATGACAAACTTTCACCAGGTCGATTAAATTAAATTTCAAACCTTTCATTTTCTTTGAGCAAGAAGTTAAAATTTAAGCTTTTACAAAGTGCTCTCCCAATTTTAGAGATAAATTTTTCTGATTGTTTTTACTTTTAGATAAATCAGACAATGCCAAAATACATGGATGTTGATGAAATGATAGTTTGCTGGACATTTTTTAAATGGTCTAATTTTTTTATACATGCTGTAAAGCACAATATCTCCTTTTAGATCTTAGTCTTCAATCTATATTTATACAAGAACAATTTACCTGTAACGAACGGATGCCACCTTTTCTTCTTCTTCATTATCTTCAGCAATGAAAGGATTTGGTTTATCAAACTTCTCTTTTTCCTCTGAGAGTTTCAAGACTTGCTGTGAGAAATTTTGGTTTATAAAAGTTGCTTCCAGACCAAGGTTCGTCGTAGAGTTTATGCTTTTCTCTGCATTATCATCTATAGGTGTTTCCACAGTTGTTCCATTAACGGTCAAAAGATCTAAAAAACATGGATCAATAATAAAAAAACAGCTTGTTGTTTCTTAAATTATCAATTAAAACTAAAAATTTACAAACCAAATGCTGATTCATCTCTCATGTGAAAAAACAGTTTTGAGGCAACACGCTAAAATCACATCTCCAGAGGAATTTAACAAAATCATAAAAACACAAATCATCGTTTTCTATAATCAAATTAAAAGCAGCCAATATAGAAATACAGATCGAAGGACAAAATGTAAATCTATCTAATGGCTGCTTGTCATTTATGTCTTCCACCATGACGTCTCTTCGATGGAGTTTTCTTTTCAAGTTTATGAGCAAAACTTTCACGACAAATGGGACAGCGTGTTCTAAAGGACAGAAAAAATATTTCTCATAATCATAAAATTGACTGTTGGACAATGTCAGGAGATGACGTTCGGTATAACGTCAGTAGCGCATAAATGACGTTTGGTTTAACGTCAGTAATACATAAAGTTGGATTAATTTTTGGATTTTCGTTCAACTTACATTCCTCTTCGAATCATTTCATTGGCGCATTCTTTATGAACTTTATGAGAACATGGTAATATTTGACAACCTGTGAAAGCATCCTACAATAAAATATTGAAAATATTTTAAAGATTTGGATATGAATTTGACTAAATATTACAAAATGAAAGACGAGCAGCAACTATAATGAATATTTACCATTTGTAGCGGGGTAGAGATAAAATGAGACGGATTGTGTCGTAAGCAAAAGCAGTTTTACATGTTTGAAAATGTAGATCGTCCAGGTTGGTATAGCCCTGAAAAGGATTGTTTTTGTTGTTGTTGACTGACGATTCGACGACCTTAGAGGTAGTCATCTTCAGAGTCAAAAAAAGTCAGAAGCAGTTTTAGTTTCGAGAAAAGAATTATTGAATAATGATAGTGTGAAGTATTGTGAGAAAATAATAAAGTTGATAGTAAAAAAGTCGAAAAAAAGGCATCCGTTATCCGTTATGGTGACAGTTGACTTGAAGAGAGATATATCATTTAAAGGTCGATAAAATTTACCTAACAATGGTGAAAGTGCCATACACACAACAGCAACTCGTGTATATAACACTGAAAAGTCAAGAATAATTTGTTTTATTCTATTCATTGTGCCAAAATAAATCAGCAGGAAATGTTTACCTCTAAACATATACAACCATCATGTGCAGAGTTTTCTCTACATTTATGATTACCACGCAGTTGTAAAGTTTACAAACATCGCAATGAAAAGAACGATCTCTGTGAACTCTAATGAAATACAAACGTGTCAAAAATCAGTTTAGTGCTTAATATTTATGATTATCTAACAAATGAGATCAATCGGTTATGATTGGAAAACGTGTTTTTATTTGGGTACATTTGAGTACCTGCAAATTCCACATTTCTCGCAATGATAAGGATGGTCGTCTTTGCCAGTAAGGTGTTTACTTAAAGCGCAGAAATATTTGGCAAATTTAACACCACAATTCGTGCACTTTTCACCAAACTAGCGAATTTCAAATGAGAATAGGAAAAATTAAATGAAATGTTTTTACGACCATAACAAACAAATTTCATTTAACTATTCTCGTATGTTTAGAGTAGTTTTTTGTGTTATTTTACAGCATGAAAATATATTACCTTTTGTACGTTGCTACAATAAGCACATTTCACATCTACTGCATCACGTGATTTAAGCTTCTTGTTGCCACACGCACTTTGATTGTTATGACAACGATGACATGGATAAAACTGCTCACAACAATCAAATTTAACAAAACAATGTCTTTTATAGTGACTACATAACCAGTTACCTTCACGAGACGTGAACACCACTTCAGAGTTCTGGGAATTATTATTGAACTTTGAGTGTTTCTTACCATTACTGCCTGGAAATTGAATACCTTTTGGGAGACCAGAGGATCGCAAAGGATTGCTTGCATTGTTGAATGACGTATCTGTTGAAAGTTAATTATAAACAAAATTTTGCATTAGTAACGTAGGAAAATAAAATCAATGAACTACATTGTTTTCAAACATTTTTTCTCAAAGTTTCTTCTCACATTCAAAATCATTGAAATGAATATAACTAAAACACAAACTGCGACGAGAAGGACATCTTGGTTAGGAATATTATTTTGTTTTTTAAAATGTATTAATTTTATTTCATTGCGTTGTTGCGATTTTTGGGTCGAAATTTTCGTGTGTTTGTCGCACTATTTCTTCGGCGTCTATATCGTATGCTTTTCACATGCACTATGGGGAAAAAGAAATGAAAAAACAAAAAAAAGTAGAAATTGCAACATTTAACTTTCCCGTAGGAACAAGGTTTCAAGATATATTCAGTTTAATGATCAAGATATATTGACCAAATGATCACAGCCATCGAGAGCTAAAACATAGTGTTGACGTTGTTGAGTACTTTAACATTTTAGGAGAAAATTGGAGAAACTGTCAAAAACTGCTCAATAATACACATTTTCTTTTGGCGACATTACAATTCTATGTGAATGACTGGCAAGCTACGAAAAAGTTATCGGTGGTCATCTTCTAATCAAAGAATCCTACCGAAAGATCATCGATGAACTTTATCAATCTTGGCTTGTTCTTTTGTATAAATGGATTAAGAGGAATCATATATGGTTCCTAAAAGTGAATAAAACTAGTGATGTCATATCGCACAACAAAAATAATAAATCATGACGTAATTACTTTGGCCCCAAATTCTATTAAATTGGCTAAATTCTGTAAACACTTGGCAACCATCGTTAAAGTCCGGCTGGCCATGGGCGAAGGTGTATCTACAAACGTAGTAAAAAAGTATCAACACAAATCCATCAAATGAAATATGGAAATGAATACGTCACCTACCTGACATCATATTACATATTCTTGGATTCATGATGGCCGGGCAGAAACAACGTAAAAATAAAACGCACTGTAAATGAAACAAGACAATACACTTACGTAACTTAAGTTTGTCACTCTTACTTTTGCACAATTCACCAACCTGACAACTCTTGTTTTTAATGTTTCATGTTCTGGCCATTTTCAAGCACGGTTCGTTGTAAACATCCAAAAGATAACGTAATAACCTGTTAAAAGAAGATATTGAACGTCATAAATAAAAAATTTTATCATCTAGCAAAATATACATCACTTACATTGGACATTTATCTGTTGAGTTTACGATCGAATCTAAAGCTTCGTCAAGAAATTCTATCAACGATGTCAAATTACCAACCGCATTCTCGTCTTTCCCAAGTCTGGCCGGATTGAACTTTATGCAATATAATTATATAGCATCGTACATAAATAAATATAATATAATTGCATGATGATACAAAGTAAAAATAAATTATATAGCATCGTACATAGTAACTATAATATCATAAAAATACCACCTAGTTGGTGATAGAATTCATTTCATGACTACGAACTGTAGGGATTCATGGATGACGCAAACACTGCCTTTTAACTCATTTAATTTCTCCAACAACTACCATTTAATTTCTCCAACAACTACCATTTAATTTCTCCAACAACTACCATTTAATTTCTCCAACAACTACAAATTTAAGAATACCATATGTAATATACAAACAATAGTTGACTTTGGTAAAACAGTCTACAGAACCATATTCTGAATTCTCTCCCCCTAGCAAGAAATCTACGATAAAACTAAGCTGAAATTGTGAATTCTTTTCTTCCGGAAAGAATTCTCCGAAAACACTTTCACTGTGCCATAATTGTGAATTCTTTTCTCTCGCGAGAATTCGAGAGATCCGTGAAAACAGTTCGTGAGTTCAGTAGACATGAAAATCGGCAATCTTTACCTTCATTAAACTTGATATCATCAACGAGGAATTGTGCTCAGAAATCAAGAACTCTCCGCTTGTTGCCCTTTTACCAACAACACGAGCTTGATGCTCAACAGACTAAAAAGAACACATTCAATAAACAGAGATGAGCAAGATGTCCTCTCCTGATACATAGACGGTATTGTTATTGAACATTATGTAAGTTTGTGAATTATTTATGATTATTAAATCCTTTTTCTATGTTATTATTACAGTTTGTTTCTATGCACAATATGATGTGAGATATTACTGGGCAATAAGTTAAATGAAATGACAAAACTTTATACAATCGAATATAATACACATAGTTTAAAACAAAAAAAAATTTGTTAACCTAGACTTAGAAAATTATCGTATCCCTTCACATCACCACGTCACGTCATGGAATCAGAGGTGTAACTAGAATGTTAATTGGGGGAGGTGTATATTCATATATTCAGTTGTGCTCTACTGATTTCTTTTGAAATTCAATTCACGTTCAAAAGAAATCAGTAAGGCACAACGGATTTTATAAGAATATGCCCTCCCCACACACCTCAATTAACGTTCTAGTTACTCCTCTGTATGGAATAACTATGTATTGACAAACTTATCACATCACATATACTGTTTTATCGTTTTCGTTTTAAAATAGTGTAAATATACCAAAATATTTTATTCGATGTTTCCTCAGCATAAAACAATAAATTTCTAAACAAATAAATAACGCTAATGATCTAACATTTACATAGCAGGACCAAACATTGCGGGCTAACAACGCAACTACTAAAAATGCTACGTAATTTCCGCGACTAACGAATCATGGAACATCTACGCATGTCATAACTTGTTATTTAGTTATCAATGTTATTTAGTTACGTGTTTTTAGTTGTAGATCATCCAGGTTAGTAGGACTGCTGGTGTTGATGTTGACTGACGTTTTAACAACCTGAGCGGTAGTCATCTTCAGAGTTCATGTGTCATTGCGTGTAGAGGAAATGTGTCGGTGTGTGGGCATCAATTGTGTATTGTCATCGTAGAATAGGCTCAAGTAAATAAATTGCTCGTTCGTTTGAGGTTGTGAATAAGTCGTTTGTAAGGTGTCGGTAATTGTTGTGATCTGTTTAGTGAGTAATGTTCTAATATTACTAATATTACTTAGTTTTTGCCAAATGCGTAGTTACGTGATGTTGCAAGCTGCTATTTTGCGTAATGTTGGGTTATGTAATATTTTAAGATGTTATGATATTGCTGTATGTTGGGTTACGTAATGTTGTATAATGTAATGTTGCTCTACGTTGGGTTACATAAGTGATATTGTAAGTTTTTGTGATGTTTCCGATAACGGGCTTACACGATGTTATAGCTAAGTTGCTACAATGTTGCTGAATGTTGAGTAACGGAAACTTTATCAAATATTACACTGCAAACAGTACTTCCGCAGTGAAAAAATGGCATGTTGATAAAAACGTATTACCCTAACAAGCTGTTGAGCCTCGTCAATGAACTTCTTCGACATCCTCATAAGATCCTTTGCAACCATCTTGGAAAGTTGTCGAAAAATGGAACCAAGTTTCGGAACGATGCTATCTCTGATATTTCGGCAATCAACCATTAATAAACCATTAGTTGTGCAGAATGACTTCGTGAACAGTTCTAATTCTACCATCCAGGTATTAATCTGTCTAAGTTGTTTCTAAAAAATGTACATAGAAAAATGTCAGTTAATTTCCATGTTTCTTCAGGCTTCTCAGTCAAACAGGCTGCTGAATGAATTTTGGATCATTTTTAAAAACATATTAATAGCATATTGATGAAAACACTTCCCTGGAGACTTATTTTCAATTGATGATACATGGCATTTATATTACATCTTGCATACTTGAAATACAGTGCGGTGAGGGAGGGGAGGGAGGTTGTAGTGGATAACGAATAATCTCCACTGGATCGGATTGAGCTTTCACACGAATATTCTTGACCAAAAACTGAGATGACAAAGCCGATGTGACAAGAGCGTCACAGTGACAACGGCTGTATGAAGCTGGACTGTATAATTATGTACAATTTCATTTTCTCCTTTCTGTTTCCTATTTAACTTTTCGTCATCCAGTAAAGTTGAAATTTTACGCGGTATAAAAATGGTGGTGTGCTGAGGTTGAGGTATATGCTCGAGGTATAATAAG